GCTGGCTGTTTTTATTGCCATCATTGCTTTTTGCAGTACTTTCAGTTTCATTGCAATGCCCGCGATGTCATAAGCGTAATCCAGATCTTGTAGCCGGCGTCCTGATGGATGGAGTATCATTTCACTATCAAAGTTCGTAACTGCCTCTGTCATTACGGTATCGATGCAGTAATTGAGGAGCAACGGATCCTGCAATTGAATACTGAACATATTCGAACCAACGCCGTATTTTGTTTTCATTTTTCAAAAAAGAAAACATCTGGGAGCTGGATTACTGTTTTAAAATCAGGACTGTTCTTATCAAGGTCGGCTTCCGCCGCTTCCTGATGTTAATTGAGTACGGTAGGGATTATACCATAATCGTAGTCACTCGCGCTTCATTCTGAGGTTGATAAATCAGTACCATTCTGTGGGAAGGAAACAGGAGACTATGGGCTACGCTTACCTCATGAAGGTAGGTAGAGGGCCTGCAATTCTGCCTTTAAAATAAAGCACATCTGACTGATGGAGGAGAAACGGAAGTCACCACCTTCATGGAAGTAAGGCTGCCAAAATGGCCAATTCATGAATGTGAAGGAAGATCGACGATGACATTTTGCTGTTCCCTGAACTTGATCGTTTCACAAATTGAGTTTAGTATGCGCAAATGGTCATTTTTCCTCTGTTCTGAGGATACTGACTTTCACAAAAATTAAATTGCCGTTACCTTCCATTTTTTCAGTTCCTATAATTAGATTTTATGTCACTGCTCTTTAAATTCATGGCACTGTTACTGTCGACTGTGCTTGTTATTAATGATTTGAGTCGCCTTTGTACTTATTACTGTTTTTAATGCTTAATATTGGTTTAATATTTGCCTAATGATACACGGTAAAACTCCAGGGACGTTCAACAGACACTAGCATTATATTTCGGTGCTAGATAAATTTTCCTTAATTTTCAGGTTTGGAGACGGGTCATCAACCGATGTCGCCCTCTGAACTACTGATAGCATTCCATCAGATCGACACTTCGAATACAGACGACATGAAATGCGTTATTACGGGTATGTTTTGACCTTGACTTCTTTGGTGCACATACGGGCAATGATTTCAGCGACAAACATGCTTTTGTCTGATCGCCACGTTTTCACAAAGGAAGTGCTGGCAGGCGTCATCCAGCAACTTGTCGATCAACAGCCCCTTCCCATGCTGCTCATGAGGACAGTCATTCAGGCGCTGACGGCATTTCCGGCATTGATCGGCTTTGTCATGAATATGTTGCAGAGGCTGATCATGAAACAGGTGATTCAGATGTTTCTGATTCAGACATTCACTGTTAATGTCCCCAAACATTCCGCGAGATGAAGAACATCATACATACTGTTAAATTTAATTGTAAAGCATACGAAGTCGTTTACTGAGATTGGATGATTGTTATGTAGTGACCAGTGACTTTTCACGACGATCTAAATTGGTGACCATAGATAAAAGTCACATTCTAATGGCTGTCGATTCCGTCGCGGAATCGACAAACACCGTCTTCTCGTGTTTTAAAATTTAAGTATTAAATCTGATTGGATAAGGTCATCAGAGAATTTTGTTTTTTGGGATAGTTAAAAAGCGGAAATCACAAAAAAAGATAAGGAAATTAATTGTGAACAGTCCAAAGCGATAAAAGCAAGCTATATACAAGAATTTAAATTTACACCCGACCGGTGCCCGCCATACATCAGACCGACATCAAATGTAAAATGAAGTGTGGCCTTCATATTTTTCAAAGTAGTAAGTGTTATTCCAAAGAAATTTTCAAGAGGATCTAGGGGTTTTGGATTAAAGTTTCTGAATATTAGTTTATTTAATTTTGTTCATGTAATCATATAAATAGTTTATTTTGGATTCACTGAGTGTGAAATACTGTTGAATCCGGAACAAAATCCGTAATGATCTTGCATTTCAGGGTGACAAACCACCTATAAG